ATTATTTTGAAACATTTAAAGCAGGCAGGGTTAACGTTACAGTGGTACTCAACACTGATTACTGTCAGACTTTCAGAATCCTTCTTCACTTGAATTAAGATTAGGCCTATAATAATTTAATTGTAACGCACAACCACCTCAAAATCGGACTTTAGCAGCTCTTTTTACTTTGAGATCTTTTTGAGGTTAAATACACATGTAAAATCATAAGATATAGTTTAATAGTTATGATACTGTTTTTGAAATCAAATCTTTGCATAGCTATGACCGGAAACACTGGCATCTAACTATGCCTTGGGATAAAAACAGTTAATCTTAAAAAATAAAATAAAATAATATACATAAACCCAAATAGAAAATAAAACAGTTATCGAATAAGCATGCGTCCTATTCTGTGTCCTCAACTCCTGAAACATTGGTGTCTCATATTTTAAATATGTATATGTGTGAAAATATTCAGATGTAACTCCCTTTGTAATCATTAACATTTTCATAAGTAACTGTAATTTAATTACACTCTTTTTTTCTCAGTAACTGTAACAGATTACAGTTACATTTATTTTCTAAATTAAATTACGTAATGTAGTTACATTGTGAATGTTAATGCATTAACTAAGGTTAACTAATGAGGTCTTATTGTAAAGTGATACCTATTGGTCTTTATAGTTCTTTTGCACTTTAATCTGTGTAAAATTTTTAACTTTATAAATTTTTCTGTATTGCTTTATTGCATTTAAATGTTCAGTTATTTTTGTTATAAGAAAAAAGTTATTAAACCTGTTATACTGTATTATGACAGCACCTTTTTTAAACAAAATGTCAATACCGCGATAATACCGTATACCGTGATAACAGCATTAGCAATTAATCGCAACATGAAAATTTGATACCGGCATATCCCTAGTTACAATAGTACTTACAGCTGTTATGACTTTGTTACACAATTGTTTTGTGCTATTATGACTTTACAGTTATGCTTATAGCTATTTTTAGAGCGGTGATTATTGGCTTTGTTGTGGCTATGTTACAGCATTGTTTATGGCTGTGTTAATAAATTAATGATAGTTATGTTTACATTTGTGTTATGGCTATTTTACAGATACAGTTTCAGCTATGTTATGACTCTAACGGCTATGTTACAAAAATGTTTGCGGCTGTGTTATGGCTGTTTATGGTTGTGGTTGTTATATTCACTATATTCTCTCTCGCTCTGTCTCTCTGCAGGAGCTTCATATCATCAGAACTCAGCCAGTTGTGCTCGAATCATTGTCTGTTCCTCTGCAGAGCTCAGAGTCATCCCTCTCTCCCCAGGATGAGAGGAGCGTATCTGTCTCCCCGTCTGACTATCTGCTGGACATTAATAAGGTTCTGCTGGCCATGACCGACAACGAGCTGCTCCTAAACACCTCAGAGCTCAGCGGAGGACTGTTTGAGGATTTCTCCAGCCAGGAGGACACGCTCAGGGTCAGACACACTACAGGAGTTTGCTTAGACACAACAGTTTCCTTCATAACAGGGTTCAAGAAGTCCAAATGTGACCACAAAACCAGTCAAAATGGTCAATTTTTTAAAATTGAGATTTACACATCCTCTGAAAGCTGAATAAATGGGCTTTCCATTGATAGGACAATATTTGACCGAGATACAACTATTTGAAAATCTGGAATCTGAGGGTGCAAAAAAATCAAAATATTGAGAAAATCGCCTTTAAAGATGTCCAAATTAAGTCCTTAGCGATGCATATTACTAATCAAAAATGAAGTTTTGATATATTTACGGTAGGAAACTTACTAAATATCATTATGGAACATGATGTTTACTTAATATCCTAATGATGTTTGGCATAAAAGAAAAATTTATAATTTTGACCCATACAATGTATTTTTGGCTATTGCTACAAATGTACCCCAGCGACTTAAGACTGCTTTTGTGCTCCAGTGTCACAAATATCAGTATGCTAGTACAAGTGTTGGGGAAACTGCTTTGAAACTAGCTTGCCAAACTACAGTCTACTCGTAAAGTGTGAGCTAAACTGTTGACCATAATAACTTCCTGTTCACTAGCAGTCTAAAATAGAGGCTGAACTGACTAGAGCAATGGGTGTTTTCAGTTGTTTTGTTTGTTTTGTGTTGACTCTCTGTGTCTCTGTTTCTAGAATATAAAGGAGAGTTTGGAGCGGTTGGGTGAGCAGGTTGAAGTGATTAATGAGCGCCAGCCTGATGTGATTCTGGAAGCTTCCAGACAGGAGATGGCACAGATATCTGATGCCCTGACACAGCTGAACTCAGAGTGGGACAGAGTCAACCGCATGTACAGCCAGAGGAAAGGGTGAGTCTCGAATGACTCTGCATTTCCCCATAATTACCTGTCTAGACGAGCAGTCTTTCACCGTGTCCCCTTTATGGTCCGTAGTCACAAAGTGAACCTGAAAAAAAACTTTTGCATTTCATTTGTTGGACATGATAGTAGTTATTGCATGAAACCAATGATGAATACAGTATGAGAGATTATAATATTGCATCTCTAGTTATGAAGGAGGTCGTAATTATCCATCTCTTTAATTGTAGTGCTCTTCCAGTTGGATGTGTGTGAGCGTTGGTTGCAGTGAGTTAGGAAGAGTTAGCATTCAAGCATATATTTCCTCATTTTCTCCTTATTGAAGGTAGATTTCCTAATGTTATTTTGCCCATTCGTAACATGCTAATGGAGGAGTCCAGGAAAGGATGTGCTCATGCATTCGAGATTGGGGGCAGCAAATGTAATAATTTAAAAACCCATAACAGTCAATGCCTAATCTGAATTTAGTTGGAGGGAGGGAGGGTATGCCCTCTCGGTACCTATATGGAATATGTGCTGATGATTGGTCCATAGAGAAATGTGTCAAGTCCCTGGATATTATAAATGCATGAGGATGAGAGAGAAACCAATGCCAGTATCTCACTACTCAAACCTTCATTAACTCTGGTGCAGAGTGCTTCTGATTTAAAGAAACATCACACTGTAATAGACATTTTCAAGCAAAATTAAAATGATGAATAATACCATCAATGCTAATTAGTTAAAAAGTTGCCTTTGTAGTATAATGATGATTACATCACACAAAACCTGTCAAGAACATGCCATATTTTACACAGAAATATTGGATGAAGCCCATTAAGATTTTTAAGAACATTTTTGTTAATTAAAATGAAGATGAAACAAAAGAACATAAATATTAAATAAAATAAAAAACTAAGCAAAAATTAGTAGTGTTGGCAACTGAGAAAAAACAGCAACAACAGCGCATTACAAAATTGGTAAGTAAATAAATTGTAATAAAATAATAATAACTGAAAATCTAAAAGTAAAAGCCAAGTCCAAATATTAATACAACTATAATAATGCGATTAATCGCATCCAAAATAAAAGTTTTTGTTTACATATGTATGTGTACTGTGTGTTTATTATGTGTATATATAAATACACACACATAGAGTATATATATTTTTAATATTTACATGTATATACATTTATATATTTATATTCTTATATGTTTACATAAAAATATTTAATATATAAACATAACATATTTTTCTTAAGTATATACATGTGTGTGTTTGTAATTATATATACATAATCAGGGTTTGAAATTAACTTTTTCACTCACCAGCCAATTTGGCTACTAAATTTTTAAGTTACCGGCCATTCATAATTGCTACTAGCCAAAAAAATTAAACAAATAAATAATGAAAAAAAGGCCGGAGGTAAGCCAACAGCTTGAGGCTGTCCACACTGGATGCGACAAAGTGACCATTGCAAATCATTTGTACTTTGTCAAACAGTAGGCCTACGTCATAAATAGAACGAGGCATCAGTTTACTGTCGGGGATTTGTGGTGCTGTGCTGCGCCACATCCAGTGTAGGCCGCATCACCGATTATAATGGGTTCTATAGTATTTTGTCACATCTGGTGTAGACACAGTGCGAGTCTTCAGGCATTTTTTTATTTTTCGTTATTGCTTCAATGCAAAGGAAACCAGTGCGCCCGCCAGCGCGTCAATTCTCTCTCTCTCTCTCTGCGTGTGTGTGAAACAAAGCGACGGAGACGTGCGCCTTCGCACTAGAGTTTACGGTACGTTAAATACAGGTGCGTTGCACATCCATTCAGCACAGATCGCTTGACGGAGAGTGAAAATCTGAAGCGCTCAGTCAGAGTGTTCTGCGAGTGAAAATTTATCTGTGCTACACTTAGTCTCCAACTCACACACTGGCGAGTAAAATATGAGAATTTATTAGCCATTAGACATCATCGTTAGCACACTTTTGGAGTAGGCTACTTGGTTTTTGCAGTTTCGCGTGGGCTGTAATTTAAAAACAGCGCCTAATATAAGGTCTCCGTCGCTTCGGCGATCGGCCCACCGGGAATGTCCCAGTGCTCCCGATGGCGGTAGCTACATCGCTGGGTATGTTCAAGTAAGCTAGATATGCCCAGATGCTGCGCAATTAGGCTTATTTAATATATCATGATGAGTCTCGAGTTCAGTATTTACACTAAATCTGCGCAGATTTGGCTTACATGAATTTCCTCAAGAAATTAATTAGTAAACATAATTTACGAAAAGTAACCTGCCAAACTGGCTAGTGATTTGACAGCGTTCCCCGCCACAGCTGATTTTTACCCGCATTTGGCGGGTTGGCGGGTGTTAATTTCAAGCCCTGTACATAATAAATATACACAGTACACACACATATATTATGTAAATAAAAACGTTTATTTTAGATGCGATTAATCACGATTAATCATTTGACAGCCCTAAATAATATATAAATAATACAAAAAAAAAAATCTATATTTTTTTTTAGAAAAATGAGAATTGCAAAAAAGTCTACAGTAACTTAATTTCTGGAAAAAGTGCATGATTGTCATGAATATAATGTTAAAACAGGCCTAAATAGGCTTCTTTTTCTTCATGCCAAATATAACTCATCATATTTTTTCTTTGATTTTGGTTTGAAATATGACCTAGACATGTTTTATTGAGATTGAGTTCAGAGCTCGAAGTTGTTAATTTAAGAGGTAGGTTCTTCTCCGAGGTGAGCAGGATTTCATCTGTCAGAAGTCAGTCACACAGGAAGTTGAAGTGAAATCCGCCAGCTTTCCACACTGTTAAACAGAAATGTGACCCAGTTACTCGGCCAGATTTATAGACACCCGCTGACATGAGGAAGAACCAGAGTTCCCTGCCGAAAAGACCAATATTCATTTCCAAAAAATGATCCTGGCTGAATTACGCTGGGCTAGCTGGGGTACCAGTTTAACCATGCTGATCACCAGTAAAGTCAGTCAGCTAGAAAAACATTTCCAGTGAAGAAGGTTGTTAGTTTAACTGGTTTAATATGAAACGGCAGGTTCTTACTGGTTAAGCAGCTTCAGCAGGCCAGTTTTTAGTTAATTGTTAAGTTATTCAGCCTATTTATTCTTATTTTAAACTAGTCTTTCGTTTTTATATTTTCAGTTTTCATTTTAATTTTACTTTAAATGTACGTTGTGCTTTGTTTTAATATTTATCAAATAAAAAATTATATTTGGATTTAATTTGTGTTTTAGTTTTAAGAATATTAGTACTTTTTCTATTAGGTTTTTCATCTAATATTTGTATTTTGTTTTATTTTAGTTTTATTTCAAGTAATGAAATCAGTTTTAGTGAACAATAACAACACTTGACACATGCTCATGGTTAAAATGAACATACTTTCAGCTGCAGTTTTAACTTATACATGCTTTATTGCACAGTGATCTGTCAGATAGGGCCGCAATCTCTGCGAGTGAATCATTAAGATCTTTTGATGAATGTATCGTCAGCTCGAGCAGCCGTTTGTGTTCGTCCTCTCAGAGAAATGAATTTATGACGCTGAAACTGAGTGCTTGAGGGCGCTATCTGTCTGATAGATTTACTGGCGAGTAGTATCAATGCATCTCTTGTGCAAACACGCCACACTTGCTTGAGAATGAGATAAACGATTCGAAACACAGTGCTGTTGTGTTTAATTGAAGAAATGCATGTAATGTGAGGAAATCATCGCTTAGATGAGCGTGTTTCCTCTTCTGATGTGTGTGTGTGTGTGTTTGTGTGTGTGCTCAGGTGTTTCGATGGAGCTGTGGAGGAGTGGAGGCAGTTTCACTGCGATATGAATGATCTCTCGCAGTGGCTGAGTGACACTGAACAGGTCTTGGCTGACGGGATCGGACCAGACGGAGAACTAGACCTGGACCGCGCTCGTGCACAGCAACAGGTCAGACGCAGGGTCAAAGGTCACAGATCCATTCTGTTATGACCTGCTCCATAATGACATAGTGGTTAAAGATCTGCTAACCGATAGGTTGAAGTTTCAAATCCCAATGATGAGTGAACTGAGAAAATGAAAGCGTTTTA